ACAACTCACTACCCCTAAGATCAGAGTAAAGGGGAACAAGTTGGACAGAAATTTAGGCTGTTATAAATATTTGCACAACACAAAAGGTCCACTGAATATCCCTTTTAATAATCAAGGTCCTCTTTTGTACAGGTTTTCACCAAGAATCCCAACATGTTGAGTTCATTCAGTTCAAACCACCAAAACCAGATAAAAATAGGAAATGGAGGGGGCTGGAGAGATGGCTGCTGGCTGCTCTTCCAGAGCCTTGAGCTCAACTCCCAGCAACCACATGGTGGCTCCCAACCATCTACAAAGAGATCTGGTGCCCTCTTCTGGTGTGCAGGCATACAAAGTGCCTGAACATAAAAAAAAAATTCTTTAAAAAAAGTAGGAAATGGACAGTGTACTTTTTTCCTAATGCATCACACTTAGGTTTTTTTTAAATTTTTTATTAATTACACTTTATTCATTTTTTATCCCCCCATAAGCCCCTCCCTCCTCCCCTCCCGATCCCACCCTCCCTCCCCTTTCTGCATGCATGCCACTCCCCAAGTCCACTGATAGGGGAGGTTCTCCTCTTCTTTCTGATCTTAGTCTATCAGTTCTCATCAAAAGTGGCTGCATTGTCCTCTACTGTGGCCTGGTAAGGCTGCTCCCCCCTCAGGGGGAAGCGATCAATGAGCAGGCCAATCAGATTATGTCAGAGGCAGTCCCTCTTCTCATTACTATGTAACCCACTTGGACACTGAACTGCCATGGGCTACACCTGTACAGGGGTTCCAGGTCATCTCCACGAATAGTCCTTGGTTGGAGTATGATTTTCTGGGAAGTTCCCTGTGTTCAAATTATCTTGTTCTGTTGCTCTCCTTGTGGAGTTCCCGTCCCCTCCACACTTAGGTTTAAAAACAAACAAACAAACAAAAACCTCACAAAATTTCAAAGAATCACCTTTAACACCTAAGTAGTTAAAGACATTAGTAGAAAAAGAAAACTGTATACACTGAGTTGTTTTCATGTTTTATTTTCTAATCGTAGTTTGCATCTGATTTCTTTACATTGTTCCACACGATGGGAAAGGAATCTATAGCAAAGGGCTCACTAAAGCATAAAAATGACACATTACCATAGCCAGTGTTATGAGTAACTATAAACTTTCTCTAAAGAAATATAGAGCCATTCATATTCTATAAAACAGCTTCAAGCAATTTCGAGACTCCCACCTGTTGAGCGAAGTAAGGGTAGTGTGGTAGCAACTGTAGTGTGCACATAATACAAATACGTAATGTACACGTTCCTTCGATCACAGGGATAAAGACTGCAAAAGATATGCTACAGAGTGAACACGGGAGACATGCACCTTTTTTACACTATCCAGGGTTCCATGGGAAAACGTGTTATACATGCAAATGTCTCTGTAATGACCCTTCCGATAATTCTAGAGCTGGTGATATTATCATCCCTATATTCCAAGCTGGGCTTGTGAAGTTGAGACAAGCTGGAAAGGTAGTGGTGGACAGTTGGTGGAGAGCTGACTAGGGGCTGGGGTGCACGACCACTGCGCCCCCGGCCCATGTTCTTCCTACACTGTCTCTCAAGAACCTGGTAGACGCCCAGTACAGTCCTCTCAATTGCTCAGTCTCGTGTCTACTTAACACTTTCAATACAATTTACTTCAGGTTTTGTTCTTTTCTGAACAAAGATGGGAAATGATGGTTTAAGGTAAAATGCGAGTATCAAGGTAGTGTGTGAAAGTCCATAGGAGTCCTACCAGTATATACATGAAACTTAGCCTTACGGAGCAGGATGAATATCACACACTGATATAAATCCTTTTAATCTTTTTGAAAGGCAGGTTAACAAACAGAACTCTTCATTTTGATATTTTGCCTGTAAAGCCACGGTTTATAGTGGACATCATTAAATCTGTACAGAATACAAATTGAGTAGAAGTCTAGCTATTTAAAACATGCGTTTACCTATTTGATTATTCAGTTACTCTGCAGTCAACACTGACAATTTCTATCTATTAAAGATGTTGTTCAACATGGCAATTTAAAGTGTACTAAGATAATCGAGATTACGTAACATTACAAGTCACAGAAATTTTTTAAGCAACAACTTATAGCCACAATTCCATACATGGGATGAGTAGAACAATGGCCATCTTCCAATAGAATATAAAAACTCCTCTCATGAATACTTTGTAGTCCCCTAAAAGCTCCCTCAAAGTTAGATGGTTAAGAAAGAAAACTCCACAGGCAAACGACTAAATCCTGGCAAGTCTTTTTACACTGACTGACACTTGGTGTGGTTATGTAGTCACTTTAGCAACACAGCATGTTCATGCTCTAACTGGAATAGACGACATGAAAAACACAATCCTATCAGACTGTTTGTTTATCGGTGTTGGGGATCAGACCGTGAGCCTGTTGAATTGATTAGCACTAACTTGCTCCAGCATCTTAGCAGGAAGAGGTATTATTCTACATAGGTGTGCTTGTTCACACTTTTAACTCCAGCATTTGGGAGGTAAAGGCAGAGGGTCAGAAGTCTGAGGCTGGTCTCAGCTGTTGGTGTTTCAAGGCCAGCCCAGGATACATATGATCCTGTTTCAAAAATATAAACATGAAACATCTCCCCCCCCTCCACAAAACAAACAAACCAAAAAACCCATTAGTCTTAGATTTCAAACATTTCATTTTTCTTCCTGGGAACTTATATAGAGTTGTAAACAAAACAATTTCCTTAAAGACCATTTCCACTCCTTATTTGAAGTTAAATCGAATCAGTGAAACGATACAATTTCCACACCAAATACATGTCAAAGACCTTCCAGGTAGCATTTGCACACTGCATTCAAGTATTTAAAATCAATATGACTCCATATCTTCCAGGATGCAAGAGCACTCAATAATGCTGCTACTATTAAGGGCAAGAAAAAAAGAAAAAAAAAATCACCAGAAGGTATAGGAAATGGGGTCATGTGTAATTTCTAAAAACCCTTCAAATCCTGTTATAGGAAGTAGAAAATCAACTTCCGAGCTTGCATCACCTATGTAGAGTTAAAACACTGCTCATAAAATAATGCACATGCATATACACTGCAAATTTAGCAAAAAATGTTCTTTCATTGGTTGTTTTTGAGACAGAGTCTTATATATCCCTGGCTACTATTCAACGACAAATCCTGTGCAGGGATCACAGTGCATGCGATATCCAGCTGGTGAAACACTTTTAAGGTACATAGGTCTAATTACTGAGGAAGACAAGTGTTCAGCAAATGCCTCAGGGCTACTTTCAGCCTTGTTTTCAGATGTGCTCTGCTTAGATAAACACCAAGGAACTTCACAGAATCAGAAATACAGAAATCACATCACTACATTTTCTGTGTTTTTATGGGACCTCGGATTCTGAAGCAGAATGTACAACCCTAGGAGATAAAGTCATAGTTAGCAAAGGATTGGAGAAGATCTTATTTTTGAAACCAAGGGAAGGTGCATTCCTTTGTGTACTACTTTTCGCAAAAGAACAGTTTTCGATTCTAGTAGAGTACAAGGCCCACAAGCTGCATGGTGGACCTTAGTTTTAAAGTGGCATGATTTCAGTGTGGCTAGTGAATTCTGACTAGCTCAAGTCTAACTGAAATAACTCCTAAACATGAGCAAACCTAACTTCCCAGTAGAAAGAAAATGGGCTTCCCCTTGGACCCTCTCCATACTGTCTATGTAGTGAATTTGTCCATAATGTAAAGTCAGAGTAGAATATTCTTTGTAACATGCTATTTTTCAGCTAGAGCTCTTTGATTCAGAAATAAGAAAGCATCTTTTCACTAAGTTTGTTATTTTGAGACCTTAATTCAAACTTGGCATTAAAAACCAGTTCCTAAAAACATGTACCTACCCATATCCCAGGCTGGCCTTGAACTCCCAACTCTCCTGCCTGGACCTCGTAAGTGCAGGGTTACAGTCATGCCATTATATCAGGCTTAAGTTTGTTATTTCCTTATTTGCCCCTCAGTTTAGGAAGAGCCTGACAAGGCATTAATTTATATTTTTGCTATGTAATATTCACATTGTTATAACTTCCATCTTTACTTGCTTATATTTCATGTATTTATAAAGCACTCAAAATTGTAGCTCACGTGAATAAGACTTCTGACAAAAGAAATACACCAAAATAATCTTTCTGTTGGGTAAAAATATTTTACACACATCATGAAAACCACCTTTTCCTTGTTTGGGAAATTTCCTGTTCACACTACTTGAGAAAAGAGACCACCTGAATAATTATTTCCTGTGTTAAGACTGAGTACCACTTAGTGTTTGATTTCTGCAACTACCGACCTTAATTCAAAATTGGCATTAAAAGTAGTTTCTAAAAACATTTTTTGAGTAAGGTGGTGGTGGTGGTGCTGTTCACCTTTAATCCCAGAGCTCAGGAGGCAGAGGCAGGTAGATCTCTGAGTTCGAGGTCATCCTGGTCTACAGAGTGACTTCTACCCAGGGCCACACAGTGAAACCCTGTCTCAGTGTCTCACACACACACACACACAGACACACACACACACACACACACACAAAACAAAACAAAAACAAACAAACAAAAAAAAACCAAAACCAATTTGGCAAATGCCTTTCCTACCCCAGTAAGCTGATGACTGCAAAATAAAATCATGAAAAGAACTTATATGGTATCAAAACTAGTATAAAAATAGCTACATACTTAAGGCAGACCTATCATTTTTGCCTTTAAATAGATTTCTGCCATGTGTGGTTGTACATACATATGATCGCAGCACTCAGGAGGCTAAGAAAGTGGGATCATAGCCAGTTTGAGGTCCAATAGGAGTACACTGAACTGCCAAGCTAGCTTCAGATACAAAGTTAGACTCTGTCTCAAAATATAACAAAACAAAAACACATATTTCTGCCTCCATTTGTATCAAAATCTCTGGGCAACTGGAATATACACAAAGACTGTACAGACAACAGTTATGCAAAAGTAGGGCTTAATCATAATTTGAGAAAAAGGCAAACAGTTTTATTCACTTACTTAGTGGAAGGGATCAAAGTAGGAAAGGCAGTAAACGTTATTTTTTTTTCTTACATGGTCTACTAGAGTACCATTAAATCAAATGAACAAAATGGGCTTAGCATATCAGTTACAATACTAGCAGTTTTGAAAGACCTTAGTATCAAATTGAGTCTGCCTCAAAAAAAAAAAAAAAAATTAAAGTCGAGATAGTAAAAACTTTCTCTCCAGATCTAATGCCAGATTCCAAACTTGCAAGTCAATCTGCAGAAAGACTGGAATGTAAAACGTTGGGTTCGTTTTAGATCTGAAAGAAAAAAGAACATTAAGTCAAAGGGAAAATTCTAAAAGGATCCTTCATGCGTGTGCACATTCGTGTGCTAGGGGAGCTTGCTTGGAGGAGGAGGACCTCAGGGACTCCAACACCATGTGCTGGCCTTAGTGGGCACCCGTGCACCCACCCACCCACCCACCCACCTACCCACCCACCCACCTACCCACCCACCCACCAATACACACAATCTGTAGAAAACCAACCAACGCCATGTGAAACATTATAGAGGCGGAGTTTCTAGAAGTGAGTTGCAATTGAGAAAAGGTTACGTGTGGCATTTTCCCTTCAGTCTGAGTTGATTTGCTTTCCTGCATAATCTGTGACATTTCCCTCGTTCCTAGCTTGTTATGACTGAAGAATTCTGGTTTGGTTCCCTGCACTCACAGGAGGCAGTTTACAACTGCCTGCACCTCCAGCTCCAGGGAATCTGACACCCTCTTCTGGCTTCCACTGGCACCCGCTTGCACGTGCGCACACACACACATGCACACTCAAATAAATGAAACATTCCTTTTTTATTTACGCGGTAAAATAACTCAAATAAGCAGTGCAAAGGATGGAGGCAGCAAACTTCATTAACTCTTAAGCCATCTCTCTAGCCCTGGTTTTAGATTTTGTATTTTGGGAGTAGGAATAGACAAGCAGGAACATGATCTCTTTTAATAATTAGTTAATCCCAGCACTCAGGGAGGCAGAGGCAGAGGCAGAGGCAGGTAGATATCTGTGAGTTTGAGGGCAGCCTGGTCTACAAAGTGAGTCCAGGACAGCCAAGGCTACACAGAGAAACCCTGTCTTGAAAAAAACAAAAACAAAATAAAAAAAGTATGTCTTAAATCTTTTTCTTTCAATTTGGTTACAGGGAATACTGACAGAATACCTTTAAACTCCTAGAAAACAGCTGGATAAATGTCTCCAAGAGAAAAATCAGAGTTCTCAGGTGATACCATAAACTCTTAAAACAAAACAAAACAACCAAACAAAAACCAGTGAAACAAAAACAAAACCAAGCCAAAAACAGACACAACCCGGTTCTTGAGCCACGGAGACGACTCAGAAGGCAAGGGTGCTTGGAGCCAAGCCTGAGGCTCTCTGGAAGCCACAGGGACTATGTATGTATGCATGCTAGCATGAGTGTACTTGTCCACCCACACCTACACACGAAACGAATTGTTTCAAACAGGGTAAATCCTGGGGGTAGACAGAGATGGTTTGCTGGTTTAAACCGTTGACTGCTCCCACAGTTTTGTTACTGGCACCCACACTGGGTGGAGCACAAGCACTTTTAACTCCAGCTCCAGAGGCAAATCTCCATGCGCACATCTCCAATATGCACAGGGTACCCAACTCACACACACACTACATGTAAGTAAAATAAAAGGAAATAAAAAACAAAACAAATCAAAAAAATGAAATAAAATATAATAAAATAAGGAACATCAATTCAGCATCATCCTCTCCTCCTCAGCCCCGTTTGTTTTCTTTCCTTTCCTGCTCCTCCTCTCTTTCTGAATTATTAGGTAATTACTCAGGGCCTTGTATATGCTAGGGAAGTACTCTACCACTGAGTTCCGGCCTTTGCCCAAGATTTTGTGATTGCCTCAAGAGTCTTACTTTAGTATAAGCATCACCTTTTTTGGATTAACATCTAACCCACAACATAGAGTTACTGAGTGTTCATTCTACTGCCAAAATACAAGTGATAATTTAGTTGAAGAATGGCTGGGAGTGGTGGTGTGCGTCTTTAATCTCAGCACTTGGGGGAGGAATGACCCTGGAACTTTGCAGCCAGCCAGTCACATGGTAAGAAAAAGAAACAGAAAACAAACACCACAAGTTCCACTCCCCCCTCTCCCACTGACTTCCAAAGAAAGTTACATTAAAAATGTTTTTTTTTTAATCGCTTTTTATTGTAGAGTATGGTTTCTAAAATGTTTTATGTGCATACCACATGTGTGCCTAGTGCCCTTGGAGGCCAGAAGGAGGTATGAAGTCCCCCGGAACTGCAGTTATAGATGGGTGCTGGGACTTGAACCTGGGTCCTCTAGAAGTACACTGCCCTAAACCACTAAGCTATTCATCTCTGCAGCCCTCAAATGTTTTCCTAAAGGTATTTAGAGAGGCTGGAGCGATGGCTCATCAGTTAAGAGCCCTGGGTGCTTTTTTGGATGACCAGGGCTCAATTCCTGCACCCGTGTGGCAGCTCACACCTGTCTGCAACTCCAGTTCCAGGGCGCCCTCACCCACCCACACATATTTATTTGTGTCTATGAGCAGAGGTTAGAAAAAGGCTACAAAGCCTCTGGAACTGGCGTGACAGACAGCGGTGAGTTGCCTCAAGTGTGTTAACTGATGAAGCATTTTCTCCAGCTCCTGAAATGTTTGTGTTAGGGTAGTACCATGTTCAAAGCTAGGTGTGGTGCAAGGTATTGCTATGTGGCTCTGGCTGGCCTGGTATTTGCTTTGTAAGCCAGGCTGACCTCAAACTTGCAGCACTGACCTGGCTTCAGTCTCCCAATTACCAGGATTACAGGTATATGCTACCACACCTTGCTAACAGTTTGACCTCTAAATAATTCTTATGATTTAAGTAGTGGCTAAGTCTCAAATTACACTTTTCATTGTGCTAAATAATGGTTTTCATTGCAACATTTCATACATGCACAAACATTTCGTCTGTATCCAATATTCACCTACTATCCTTATCTCTCCACCTTGATCTTCTCCCTCTATGAGAACAGTGCCTTTACTTTAATTTTCCTCCCACATATATATTTAAATGAGAGTGTATGTGTACACACACACACACACACACACACACACACACACACACACACACACGTTTCTATAGTTCTAGTAGCTATCTTTGTATGTAACTCATGATCGAAACCAGGAAAAAAAAAAAAAAGGCTGTTTCTACTTACATCATCGATGTCTTCATCATCATCCCCAATGTCATCGAACTGAATTTCATCATCATCTCCAGGACCAAATGTATCAGTTTCATTGATTTTAGCTAAAAAACAAACAAACAAACAATCAAGACACACACACAAACAACTAATTTTAATAAAAATGTTGACTTCCAATTTTCTACTGATTTTTCTATATAGAACAAAATATTAAAACATTGAGAACATTTTAAGTTTCTTTTGTTCACAAGAGCTATTGAGCAAGGCAAGATATCTCTGAAGCAATTACATCCTTCAGGTATTCTTCAAAAGTTTGTTTATATACTAACAACTTTATTTCCTATTTTAAAAACAAAACAAAAAATAAAACTTTAGAAGGGAGAAAAATTGAGGAGTCAGTACTGGCTTTAGTATTAGGGATAGTTTCACATGTCCAGAAAACTTAACTCCTGATCAAACTGAACCATACAGAAACAATCAAACCAACCAACCAACCAACCAAAAACCAAAAACTACGAAGAAGAAAAGAACAACTGATTACCTCTAAGAATTGATTATCACCAATTATTAATTAGGAAGAAACATCTGGGAAACTCATGCTTTTATCTTAGGAATGAAAAGGAATCAGGCATTGTACTCTGTCTCATCCCCAAACACCTTACTCTTCCCTAGATCAGAATGGTAAGTTTATAATTCTCACTAGGGTTTTACTGCTTACAAAAGCCATGTTTTCGTGAGAAAACACAGTGGAGGCAAAATACAGACTTACAAAGCAGTGTATAAAGTATATTTTCCTTTTGTTAGGGTTATAAGAGGCTTGTATTTTGAGGCTGAAAACAAAGAATATTAGTTTAAAAAATCCTACAGCAATGCATACGGATGCAATAGACTAAAAAGTAAGATTCACTGAAAACCCATACGACTTAATCACTCCCCCTTTCATTTCCAAACAAACAAGGACACTCCTGAAGGAGTGTTTTCCAGTAGTGCTAGTAATTAAAGCTAGGTCTTATGCGTACAAAGGTGGCTACTACTGCTCTGTACTGCACCACCAACCTTTCTTGAAGGAGTCTTAAAATGCCACAAGAAATCATTCCTTTGGCTGACACTGTAATTTCTCACTAAATATACTTTAAAATAATTTTTTTTTGAGACAGGGTTTCTCTGTGTAGCTTTGGTGGTCCTGGACTCACTTTGGAGACCAGGCTGGCCTCAAACTCACATACATTCACCTGCCTCTGCCTCCCTGAGTGCTGGGACTACAGGTGTGCATCACCACACCCAGCTAAATACACCCTTATTCAGAAACAGAATTTTAGTAATTTGTTTCCCATGGTATCTAGTATGAAGTATAAGCAGGTATCCTTAACTCTAATCATGTAAGCACAAAAAAGAAATAGCATCTGTAAAAATGTACAAAATTTCATTCATTGCCTAAACACCAGCAGACAACCTAAACACCATAGGACAAGTTGATGATTTAGTCATTACCATGTTCTGGAAGCTCGCCATACGCCTTGAGACTTCTAGCTTCATCTGCGTTGTATTTTAAAATGACATCCGCTTTGTTATCCTTAAAACAAAAACAAGTCATTTCCAGATCTGAGTATATCACACTATTCTGCGATGTCAAAAGTTATTTTCAAATTAAAGTGAAAAAAAATCAAATCTCAATGTTTTGCTATTAAGTCCTTCTCTCCTTCCTTACGTTTAACTGAGAAGTTTTATGAACATAACTGAGCAATGCTTAAAAATTCAGGAAAGAGCTGGGTGCGGTGGTGCACACCTATAATCCCATTACTCAGAAAGGGAGAGGCAGGCAGACCTCTGTGAGTTCCAGGCCACCCTGGTCTACAAAGGAGTCCAGGCCAGCCAGGGCTACACAGAGAAACCTTGTTTCAGGGGTGGTGGTGGTGGAGGGGACAGGCCAGGAATGATAAAACAGAACTACACAGATTGGATCTTTTATATTACTTCCAATTATGCATTAATTAAAAGCACAAATACCCCCTGGGACAATGTACAGAGATTTCAAACAGTCAAAAACTAAGACTTGGTATTATAACCTAGGGAATTTAAAAAATGTATATGTGCATATACTCACAAGTATGTGAGTACATGTGGAAGCTAGAAAAGAACATCACATCCCCTGGAACTGGAGTTACATACAGGTGAATGGGAGCCACTTGGTTTGACTGCTAGGAACCAAACTCTGGTCCTTTGCAAGAGCAGCAAGCATTCATTGCTGAGCCATCTCTCTCTCTCTCTCTCTCTCTCTCTCTCTCTCTCTCTCTATATATATATATATATATCTTAGGCCAACTATAATTATTAAACTCATCAATTTGAGAGGATTTAGAATCTCAACAAGAATAAATCTTTAGGTCTATCTGTCAGTGAGTTTGTAGATTAGGTTTATTACAGTAGAAAGGTCCACCCTAAATTCAGGCAATACCATTCCACCGGCTAAGGTGCTGGACTGAATAAAAAAACAGAAAGATGCCTTTCCCTGAGGGGGGAGCAGCCTTGCCAGTCCACAAAGGAGGACAATGCAACCAGTCCTGAGGAGACCTGACAAGCTAGGGTCAGATGGAAGGGGAGGAGGACCTCCCCTATCAGTGGACTTGTGACTTGTGGAGGGACATGGGAAGAGATGAGGGAGGGACGGTGGGATTGAGAGGGAATGAGGGAGGGGCTAAGGCTGGGATACAAAGTGAATAAACTGTAATTAATATAAAAAAATAAAAATTTGATTAAACAAAACCAGAAAGATGAATACTAGCATTCATCCATCTCTGTTCTTCTTGACTTTACATGCATCGAGACCAGCTCTTGCTGTCATTTCCCACGATGATAGAGCGTACCCTTAAACTGTGAGCCAAAATAAACCCTTCTTTACATTGCCGTTTTAGGTAGCTATTCAAAACGATTTAGAATCTTCTGAAGATAAACCAATTAGCACCACCAATTTATGTATTTCTTAAAAAACTATTATCTTGTGTGTGGGCTTTGGGAGCCTGAGGAGGTCAGAGGGCAACTCTGTAGGATTGATCCTTTCCTACCACCCTTGTGTGAGTTCTAGGGATCTAAACACAGGCCTATGTAGCTACCTTACTGCCACCCAATTTGTCTTTGTAAATGTTTAAAAAAATATCTCAATTCTTTTGTGCTGTCTTTAAAAAACACAATGCTGGCTGGAGAGATGGCTCAGAGCTTAAGAGCACTGGCTGTTTTTCCAAAGGTCCTGAGTTCAATTCCCAGCAACCACATGGTGGATCATTACCATCTATAGTGAGATCTGGTACCTTCTTCTGGTGTGCAGGTGTACACACAAACAGAATATTGTATAGATAATAAATTGAAAAAAACAAAACCAAAACAAAACACAATACCTTAAAATGCTTACATTTCCCTGTTTGAGTCAACTTTCCCTTAAAGGGAGTAAAATGGCTGCTTCAAATTCAAGGGTGTTCATGTAAACTAGCACTTTTAAAATTGTGAAAAGTATACCGAAAGAGGGGGCAGATAGCAAGAACCTGAGGTTTTTTTTTCTTAAATTTCCTTTTTAGATTTATTTGAGTATGAATGTATTGCCTGGATATATGGATGCCCACCAGATGTGTATCTGGTGCCCACAGAGGTCAGAAGGTGGCATTAGATTCTCCGGAACTGGAGCTATTGATGTGCTACTATGGGTGAAAATCAAACCCAGACCCTCTGTAAGAGTAAGTACTCTTTAACTGTTAGGCCATCTCTCCAGCCTCAAGAACTTATACTTCTTCCCAGCGCCCAAAAATCTGTAATGCCAAAATCTTTCTGGACCACCCTCTTAAGTGGTAGAGGCCAGAGAAAGGATCATGGGAGATTAGAGTCAGTGTTGCACCTATGTGAATTTTGGTGTCTTTTCTAACAAGGAATTAATCTTCCTTCTTCTAAGGTTACTGTTAAAATGAAAAAGAATAAATGGTTTATGAATTTGGAGCAGCTTTTCTCAACCAAAGCATGAATAATAATTCTGAGGCAAATATTCTTTGTTGTGGGATGCTGTACATTAGAGGGCGTTTCACACCACCAACTCTAACCGAGACCCTCACCCAAGTTATTTATGGTATACAGAGTAGTCCCCAAATACCACCTATGCCCTTCTGGAATGCCAAATCATCCACAGAGAACCCTTGGGTTTGAAACAAAGATGGTAACTCTTTAATCTGGAACACAAAGGAAAACACTAGCAAAAACTAAGTATGATGAAAGTCAAACAAAAGAAATGTATTAAAAAGGGGGCCAGTCAGAGTGGTTGTAATGCCAGCATTTCGGATGGGGGTAGGTGCGGCAGAAAGATTAGGAAACTCAAAGTCATCCTCAATAACCCAGTCTCAACACAAAGGGGAGACTGATTGGCTGCCTCAGGTTTGTACTGTTCTGTCCATGATAATAGACTGCTATCCAAACCAAGTCAAAATAAACCCTTCCTTCCTTTTGCTTGTGTCATACTGATTAGAAAATGATATACCAGGCTATATGCCATTTGTGGAATCGATTCATTCAGCTGTAAAACTCTACAATAATGGTTTCTAGATTTTTTAAAAGATCTATAAAGTAAAAAAGAAAAATTAGAGGACAACTGAAAAAAAAATGGACAAATCCACTACATACTAGTATCATTCATTCTAAAGGGAGAAACTGCAAAAAGTAAAAACAGACCATTTTGCTTTAGAAAAACTCAACACCTGACTCCTTAAACTGGCATTTGGGAACCATAAGAACCAGGGACACCAGCATAATGCCTAAAGCACATTGGGATCTTCATCAAGTTCAGGCAAGCCAACAAGAGATTTAAAAGTAATTTCTTACCTGGTAGTCTCGGAGTCCCACCAATATGATGTCTGAGGTATTTATCCAAACCTACAAAAGAAAAGTCACTGCATAGTATATTTTAAATAAGGTGGAATCAAGAAGTCCCAGAGATGACACACTTAGAAATAGATGAACTCACAAGCTACCTGGTTATCTACTATGAAAAAAAAAAAGTGGCCTTTTAAGTCTTTTTGTCTACTCACACAGATGTGTATGGCTTTCACGACCCTTTTCCTTGTGAAGGACTGATAGCATCAAAATAAAAGGTACCCTCACCACGTACCCCACTCTCACTCAGTGCTGGGACTCCCTGGACCCATTTGCCAGGCCTCTTTAAATGGGACTCCTTAAAACGGGAATAGTTCTCCATCCCTTTTCCTCTTACATCACATCAACATTTTTAAAGATAGCTATCTGCTTTTTAGAACGTTCATCAAATTAGATTTGTTGGCCAAATATTTCTTAATAATTCAGATTCAAGGTAAACCTTTTTGGGTAGGGATACAACATAGGCGAGGCAACTGATTCTTCAAATACTGCAATCTGTAAAATTACTTCTATGATCTTACACTGGGTGTATCTTTGGGTCCGTAAAAACTGTAGCAGACGGAGGCTGAGCACGTAACTCAGTGGTAGAGAAGAGGCCCTGGGGTAGCTTCCCAGCAACACACAGAAACAGACAAAGACACACAGACATACACCCCTGTAGAGGCATTTCCTCTACCCTCCTTAACACTTACATTAGCCTAAAACGTCCACACACTTACCTTTTTTCTCAGTTTTCCTCTGATGTGGCATAGCCTCTTCACACCATCAAAACACATTGCTTCTAATCGTCCATTTCCCAACATTTTGATTACCTGAGCATATTCTAAATGGATGGGTAGGTAAGAAATATTGCTTACTTTTTTTTTTTTTTAATAAGAGCAACTTTATAAAAGTCCACTGAAGATCAACAATAACATATGGTTGCAATTGTAAGAAACAAATATACATAGGGCAGATATGAAATAAACAGGCTAGTTAATGGTTGAACCAGAAATAAGACTTTGTAATGTAACAACCTGGGTCTGTTATTAGAAGCTTTAATTATCTACTCGTTTTGAGTAAGGAGACAGACTGACTACTGTCCTTGTGAATATAGACTTCTAGAGATCAAAGGTACAAAGTCCCAGTATATGCACTATACCTCAGAAATCTCACATTCAGATTTTTACCTGTTTTGTAGCCTTATTTCTCCCTCTTTGAATCTTTATAGAAATCTCATAGAGATTTCAATACAAGTACCTTAAAAGTTAGCGAGACCCTTGCTGAATTAGGATAACAGTAATTATTCTTAGAAAACCAGAATCCTCTTTGACTTGGGTAACAAGCCAAATTATTTTCTTTTTCTTCAGATGGGGCATCACAACATAGCCTTGGTTAGCCTGGACCTCAAGAGATCTACCTGCCTGTCTCTCTGCCTCCCAAGTGTTGAAAATAAAGGTGTACATTACCACGCCTGGCCTAAAATGTCAAATTCTTAAGCAGAATCTTTTTTTTAATAAGATTTATTTATTTTATGTGTATGAGTGTTCTATCTGCATTTACATCTGCCAGAAGAAGGAATCAGTTCACATTATAGATGGTTGTGAGCCACCATGTGGTTGCTGGGAATTGAACTCATGAACCTTTGGAAGAGCAGACAGTTTAAGCAGAATCTTTTAAAAAAGAGAATACCCAAATGTCTGTACAAATAAACTCAAACACTAATAGAGGCAGTCTCTTAGAAAATGTCTTATCTCCAACATGGGAAAATAAATGGAAAAAAAAAATCTAACAAGAGCCCAACTTATCCAACTTCTTACCTTGACCATCTTCCTTGAATACCAGCTCTCGTTTTTCAGATTCATTCTCATTCTTTCCCCTACGTCTGTTTTTACCTCCTTTTCCTAGTGGTTTGTTAGAAGAAAGAAAGGGTATCAATTATTTGCAAAACACTATGAAAAGGAACAATGTCAAAAGTTGTTTAACAGACTTAGAAAACCATCTTTTTTTTTTTTTTTTTTTTTTTTTGAGACAGGGTATCTCTGCATAGCCCTGGCTGTCCTGGAATTCACTGTGCAAAACGTTTTAGCCTTGAACTTACAGAGCCTTGACTGCCTTTGCCTCTCAAGTGCTGGGATTAAAGACATACACCACGTTAATTAAATTTAAAAATTCATCTAATCTGGTTAATAATGTTAAGATGTCACCATGTTATCCTCCCCAGTCCACATGGAATTTCCTTTGGGGATTTCGTATCTTAAGTAACACCCTTATTTTTTTTCATTTATTGAAAATATCTTTTTCATATATTCTGATTCTGCCCCCCCCCCCCCCCGGCTCCCATCCCATATGGATTCAATCTTTGTCTCTCAAGAGAAATCAAACAGGTATCTAAGGAATAATAATAAAGTAAAATAAGACACGATAACAAATAAGAATATGACAAAACCAAGAAAAGCACAACAAATGTACATAGAGAAAGAGACACACATGTTTATACACACAGGAATCCCAAAAAACCCTAAACCCAGAGCCATAATACATAAGCAAAGGAGCTGTTAAGTAAGGTTAAAGGTGGGGGGTGGGGTGGGCAGTGGTGGCACATGCCTTTAATCCCAGCCAGTACTCAGGAGGCAGAGGCAGATCACTGTGAGTTAGAGGCCAGCCTGGTCTACAGGGCAAGTCCATGACAGCCAAGGCTACACAGAAAAACCCTGTCTTGAACAAACAACAACCGAAAGGAAGGTCCGACAGGACAATATATGTTTGGAGAAAACCTCCAAAAATGCCACTAAGTTCCTTTTGTGTTGGCAGTCTACTGATAGACATGGGGCCTCACCTTAAGAGTTGCTTAGACCACAGAGGAGGACAATGCAGCCAGTCCTGATGACACCTGATAAGCTAGGGTCATATGGAAGGAGAGGAGGACCTCCCCTATCAGTGGACTAGGGGAGGGGCATGGGAGGAGGGAGGGAAGGTGGGGTTCAGAGGGAATGAGGGAGGGAGCTACAGCTAGGTTACAAAGTGAATAAATTGTAATTAATATATAAAAAATTAAAAAAAGAGTGGCTTAGATAAACTGGGCATAGTGGTGCATGCTTTTAATTCCAGCCTTTGGGAGGCAGAGACAGGTGGATCTCTGTGAGTTTGAGGTTAGCCTGATCTACAGAGTTAGTTCCAGGACAGCCAAAGTTTCTATACACAGAGAAACCCTGTCTCAAAAAACCCAAGAGTGGTTAGATGACTGCAGTGAGCATATTCTTAACTACTATTTGAGAGCACTATCCATTTACTTGTCACAGTCACCTTGACTATCAAGTCATTTATTCACTTAAGTTCAGAGATTAAATAACTCAAACTTTCAATGAGCTTGGGACCCCACATTCCATCAGCCCTTACCTTTCTCTGTCCTACCAGAGATCTCATATTAAGGATCATTTCCAGAGAATTCTGTTGCCACAATCTTAACCACATAGGCCTTGGCTTTTTTTCTGTTTTCTTTTGGAGACAGATTCTCACAATACAGTCCAGGCTAGCTTTGAAATTGGGGCAATCCCTCTGCCTCAGCCTCTTGACTGCTGGGAGTACAAGTGTGTGAGGCACCATACTGGATCCTGAGAAACTTTACAAAGACACTTTGCCCTAGTCATACCTGACCCCCTATGAAAGGAGAGCAGTGAGAAAGAGCACGGGGGGGGGGGGGGGGAGAATGAAGCTATTGCTCCTAGAATGGAACAGTGATCTTATGATGCAGAAGAATAGTGACCTCAAGAATCTAAACTTGATCTTGTGAAGTGTACCAGGTTTAAAAGCAAGGTGTTAATTGCCTCCAGAGCTTCTTTTAAAATTTACTTAATGTTTATGGGTTCTTGGTGTGCGTGTACGTCTGTCCCTCTTGGGCATTCCTGGTGCCTGAGGAGGCACTAGAAGAAGATGTTGGATGCCCTACAAATGGAGTTAAAGACAGCTGTAAACTGTCATGTGGGTTCTGGGAACCAAATCAAATGCCTCTGAAGAACACCCAGTACTGTCTAACCATCTCTCTAGCCCTACACACCTTAAAGTATATATATATATATATATGGCGGTACTATACAACAGAATACTATACAGTGATACAAAGAAAGGAAAAAGATAGGTATAGTGGTGCTTGCCTGTAATTTCAGGCATTACAGGCATGCACTCACAGTGGATCATTCTTCTTCTTTTTTTTTTTTTTCTGTTTTATTGCCATGAAATCAAATGCTCTTCAAATTCCCCTTTGAAACTAGGAAGGCCAGTACACCTTTTAATCCCAGAGGCAGAAGCAGGTGAATCTCTGTAAATTCAAGACCAGCCTGGTCTACAGAGTGAGTTCCAGGACGGCCAGAGTTACAGAGTAAGACCCTGTACCAAAAAACAAACAACAAAACAAAGGAAGAATCAAACAAGACCAAGCCTAAGTACATGACAAAACAATAAAAAGAATGACCATTAGTTCTTCAGCTCAACCACAATTCTAAATTTCTTTCTTTAAACTACAGAGGTGTTTCAGAGGAATAAGGCCAGGTAGGATATTTCTTAAAATATACTAGGCTAGTAACTAGGTGTGATTTAGTATAGAAGTTCTGTCTCCTTGGAACCAAATTGGAAGCTACTATTCACCTATGGGTGGAGTCACCAGAAAGGAGATGAGTAAGTCCAAAAATATTTATTGAGCATCTTTTAGGCTAAGTGCTACTGAGACAATGTGATTACGACTGACACCATTCCCATCCTCTTATGGCTTACAACGAGGCAACTGGAAATGGAGTCACTAGAATTAGGTAAGGTGAGAACAAGACACCTCACCTACTGAGGTGATCCAGTTGCCACCTCAGGATAAGAAGTCTATAGACAGCAATTTAAAAACTTTGAACATATCATGCTTATCATTATTTGAGGACAATCAGTAAAAATCCTTGCGCAAAAACTGGCAAAAACTTGATTTTTGAGGCCCCACAGTGAGGTGGGGAGAGCTGAGTTCAACGTCAGCCTGCGCCACATAACAAGACTTACTTATGTCAAATCAATTTGTTCATAAAACCGCGACCAAGTACTCAGAGGGCTAATGTGAATGTTGACAGGTACAAAGAGTAATTAAGTAGAACCCCTGAAGCCAGCTTTCAAGCGCACACACACACACACAAAAAGAACACAAGTAGGCATAAAGGTCCCAAGGATGAATTATCAAAGTGTATGTGTGGCAGTCAAGTGTGGAGAGGGACAGGTGCATTGGATCCCCTAGAGGTGGTAGCCAGGGGCGGCCCCTATGTAGGTGTGTGAACCTAACTTCGGTTCTTTTACCCAGGAAGACATACATCTCTTCTGCCCAAAGACGACTTCATTTTTATTTTACTTTATAGACGAGGTTTCTCTGTGCAGACCTGGCACTCACTCTGTAAAACAGGCTGACCTGACATTCAAAGAGATCCATCTGCCTGTGCCTCCCAAGTGCTTCGATTAAAGTGCATGCCACTACCACCTGGCCCAAAGAAGATTCTTAAGGGATACGTAATGTGTTCCTCCCCTGCAGGAAACACAAGCTTTTCGCTGTTTCTTTACTTGCTCAATTTTTGAGAAATTATGAGGACACTGAATCCAGCAAGCCTGTAATTCCAGCTACCTGGGAAGCTGAAGCAGGAGAATCCCAAGTTCAATGTTAGTATGGGCTACAGAGTGAGTTTCAGGTCAGCCTGGGGACGGAGCAAAGGCTGGGAAGTAGTGTTTGATTCCCCCCCCCCCCCACAAAACAAATACCACTACAAAACACTGTAAATATATAAAAATGAGGATGAATTCAGGCACATTGTATTGCTACTTCGTATTACTAGGCTCTTCATTTTGGAAATCGCCAGTTAAACATCCTCTCATGCCTGATAATTTATGAACATTTGTTCCCAGAATGGAGGGACCTTCAAAGGTTTTTATTTTTTTTCCGTAATAACACATACAAGATCTGAAGCAAAAGTGGAAAAGTTGGCTAAATATGGGTCAAGTGCTCTGAGGGAAAGAAGTTAAGCCCCGTAAAGCCATGCAGCAAAGTGATTCTCTTAGGGATGAACTTCAAAAATGCATCAAAGCAGTGGCACTGGCTACTCCGGAGCAGCCGCAACAGAATCAACTAAGTGTCCATAAAGAAGCCTCTGGAGGAGGTACCAGATGGGCACGAAAGCAAGCAGGGAATCACCCTTTTCCCAAGTTTTAACTCGTTTCCAGGGCTTAACTCCCCACGTGCCAGAAGCCCAAGAAGCCCGAGGCAGGTGTTCCTACGGTTCCTCTTGGCGCCGGGGTCTGCGCGATTCAGGGGCACAAGCCCACATTCTCACACACGAAGCCCTACAAAAAAATGGCGTCGGCTCCACCCCACTGTGATCAAACTGGGAACCAGGAGTAACTTCCCTGCGGCTCTGTGGAACCCCGAGTGGGACACAGAAAATGAAGCCAGAGGAGAGGCGAGAAAAGATGGCAGGAAGGTCACTGCGGCCTGGGCTGACCTCGAGGCCGCGAGCTGGGCCAGGGACGCCGGGTGGGAGCAAAGCCGCAGTCCCGGCGTCGTTACCTTTATTCTTGGGCATGGCGGCAAAGACGAGCTGGCGGGGTACGGGACCGTGTTCCGGATGGCGGCAGGGACAGCGGTGACTCCGACGGGCAACGCTGAGAAGCACGCGGGAGGAAGGCTGTGCGGGAGACCAAGAAGCGTGCTCGGCAGAGGTTGGTCACCAGTGCTTGAGAGTCGCCCGTGCCCACGCTCGGCAGTGGCAAATGGCGTCGCAGCAGCGGGCTGTGCTTTTCCCCGCCCTCCTCCTCCCCCGCTCGCGGGGCCGGCCTCCCGCCCTCAGCCCTTCCCTCGGCTGTAAGGCGCAGGCGTGGCCGAGGGGAAGGCTTGTGGTGGGGGCCCGAGGAGGAGCCTTTTGGGATCACAGCCGCAGGAGGGCACGCAGTGGGTGGAGTAGTGTCCGGAAGGGGTGGGTGAGGCCTTGCATCACAGTGGAGGAGTTGAGGGGAAATTGAGGTAGTGCTGGCTGCTGGCTTGGGCATCATCCGCTGCTTCCTAGCCAAGTGAGTGCCAGCTTGACAAGCTGCTGACTCATTAACCTCATAGTTAGCTGAGTTTTAATGTGGCCCTTTCACCGGCCCTGGCAGGCTGGAAAGTCTGAGGGGAAGGGGAAGAGGCTTGCCTGCCATCCCTTTCCAAACTTGAAGATTTTTCACAGTACTTAAAAAAAAAAATCTGTCTTCCCTAACTCATCGTAGTCAGGTCCATTGTTTATTAATAGCACCTAACAGAATGCCTGCACATAGTAGGTTGCTCAGCACACACAGGACAAGAGGAAGGGATGGATAAAGCTGATGTTCGGGACTGAATCTCCCCAAATTCATGCTGAAGTTATAACTCAGAATATAACCTTTGTATAGGACTATATTTGGATATAAGGTGTTGAAAGAGGTGATTATATAGAAATGAGATCCTTAGATCTGACACCAAGCCAGTACGACTTGGAAAATGACATTAAACTGGGTATGGTGACACAAGCCTTTAATCCCAGCACTGAGGAGGCAGAGGAAGGTATATCTCTGAGTTATAGGCTAGCCAAGGCTACAGAGTGAGTCCTATCTCAAAAACAAGAACCAAAGGGAGGCAATTAGCACCTAGGCATAATTAGTCATAAAGAAGAACACTTCCTGAGCCAGTAATCATCTGTAAGCCATGGATATCCCAGAAGAAACCAGACTTATCTCTATCTTGACCTTAGACTTGGAGCCTTCAAAACTTAGTAATAGTAGGCAGCCCTGGTAGTTCATACCTGTAATCCTAGTACATGTGAGGCTAAGGCAGGGGGATTGCTGCAAATTTGGGGGAAAGTTGGGCTACATAGTGAGTTCCAAGCTAGCCTGGGTTACATAGTGTGACCTTGATTACAGAACAAACAACACAGCCAAAAGAAAGTAGGTTTATGATGTTTAAACAACTCATTCTCTGGTTCTTTGTTCTGGTTGTTTCAGCAAAGGAATACTGCATGGCTACTCATAGCAAATAGCTTCACTTCAAAACAGGTTTACTTGGGGCAGCAAGATGGCTCAGTAGGTTAACACACACAGCAGAAAGGGCTGGTAACCTGAATTCAGTCCCTGGAAGCCATGGAAGGAGAGGACCAACTCCACAAAGTTGTTCTCTGATTGCCACACATAGCCTCCCCTCCCTCCCCCCACATAATAAGATATACACATTTAAAGATAGGGTTATTTTAAATAATCTTTCTGGAAACATTAGCATTTTAACACCCTCTTTATAGGGAAGGAGACTACATGACAGAGAAATAAAGTGTGATTATCTAACAGTACTTCTCTACTGTGGACATTTGGCAATTTCTAGATACATTTTTGGTTGTCACCAGTGGAGGAAGGAATCAATGATACTGATACCTGAGTAGAGGCCAGAAATGTTGTTAAACGTCCTACAGCTCCTGCCCTTAGTGAAGGATTATCCAAATAGAAAACAAGAATAGAACAGAGGATGAGAAACTCATTAACAGATGTACTTCTCACAGCGTAATTAAAAGAGGACAAGAAAGCTGGGTATGTCAATAAACATATTTAATCCAAACATTCCAAGGCTGAAGCTGCACGAGGCTCTGTGTTTCAGGCCAGTTTGGCCTACATATACAGTAAGATCCAGTGTTGGTATAATGTTTTTGAGGAATGTATACAATTTACCCTTGTTCATTCACATGTTGATTTCTCTACCCCACTATCAGGTTTCAATCCTGACATTGCATTGTGATGCTTATTCTAAGCATCACCTGTCTCAAGTTTGTGTAAACATGCCACCATTTGTTCTCTGTAATTGTCAATTAAACAACCAGCCAGTGCTGAGCAAGGGAGAGAATAGGGTGGGACATCCTGGTCCAGAGGGGAGAAGAAGCGAGTGGGAGGAAGGTGAGGAGAAGAGAGATCTGAAAGGAAAGGACCTGGAAACCCAGGAGAGATGAACTGGACCTAAGATATAACTAAAAAAGCAAGTATAATGTGGGAAATCTGAATGGGAGGAAGCTATGCCCAGCATTATGCTCTAGGTTAATTAAATATATCCTAGTCTCTCCATGGTGATTTGGGTATATGGCTAGTTTAGGAATAACCGCTGTTTAACTAAAAGATAAATCAATAATCATCAACAACCCAGTCTCAAAAAATGAAAAATAACAGGGAAGTCAAAGTTCAGACTTTCTCTTTTATTTGCAGTGTTTTTTGTTGTTGTTGTTTTTGAGACAGTGCTCACTATGTAGTCCAGGCTTCCTCTATCTCTGTCTGTGGTGTTGAGATGTAGTAATGGCATGGCTGAAAGTCCAAATGATTCTAAGACTGGGCTCTGGCGTTATAGAGTCCTGCATTCAAACACGAATTCTACAAAACTTACTCTACGATCTGAGATAGTTACATCATCTTTGTGAGACTCAGTTTTCTTATCACAAGAATTAATGCAATATTTTAGGAGTTTAGCAATTATGCCTAGTACACAAGTAATCAGACCCAAATACATGTACAACTACATGTTTAAAAGTCAAGTACTTGATATAAAGCCTCATAGAAGAAAAAAAACAAAACAAAACTTTTTTTTTGTCTCCTTTAGCAAGGTCCCTATCATCAGGATCACTGAGGAGGAGGTGAATCATGTGGACATCTGGTCAGAAATGTGTAGGTAGAGAGGACAGGAAGGACAAGGGCCCCATGTATGGCACCTAAACTTGCTGTGGTCAGTGTGCTTCTTAGTTTTTGTCAACTTGGCACAACTAGAGCTACCTGGGAAGGGAGAATCTCAACTGAGGAGTTACCTCTGTCACACTGGCTGGTGGGCATGTTTGTGAGGCATCTTGATTAATGATTGATATGGGACACCCACCCCTGGGCAGGTGGTTTTGGGCTGTGTGAGAAAGCAAGCTGAGCAAGCCATAGAGAGCAAGCTAGTAAATAGCATTCTTCCATGGTCTCAGTTTCAGCTCCTGCTCCTTCCCTCTGTGATGACTGTGATCAGGACATGTAAGCCAAATAAACCCTTTCTTCCCCAAGTTTTCATGATGTTTATCACATCAGACAGCAAATTAGAACAGATATCATGACAAAAAATGCAGTAATTGGGAACAGTTTGGGAGAAAACAACAAAAAAACAAACCAAGATTAGAGACTTAAGAAGACCAGATCATTTGGAACCCTTGGTAGGTTTTAAATCAATCATTTTGGCCTGTTGGTTAAAAATGGCTGTAAGGGACAAAGGCAGGACTTGAAACCATGCATGGAGTACTGATTGTCGAAGTAAGATAACTGTGGTAGTTTGGAATAGGATACAAAGCTTCTTTGGATATGATGACATGTTCTAAAGCTAGGCTGTCATGATGGCCATGAACCTCTGTCAATGTGCTTAAAACATCGAATTGTAAATTTTAAATGGGCAAACTCTATGAATCATATCTGAAGAAAATCATTTTGAAAACAAATGGGAGCTGAGTGTGGTGGTACATGCCTGTAATCCCAGCACTTGGAAGCAGTGGCAGGAATGCTCCAAGTTGGAGGACAAGCTAGTCTACATACTCAGTTGCAAGACCAACCAAGTATATAGTGAAACCCTGTCTCTAAAAAGTCCAAAACCGAACTGAACCAAAACACCTCTAACCCTCCCCTACAAACTTTTTATTTGAAAAACAAAAAGGATTGGGAGAATGGATTTCAATAAGAAGAAAAGATGGACAAATACTTTAAGGATTTAAGTACAATTGGAAATTCGGAAAACAAATTTGCAGTGCCATTTGTTTAACTGTATAGTTTCATTCAAGATTTAGAGATGCAGAGATATAATTAACCAGCAGCAAAGACTGGAGTTTTGCTCAGTGGATACAGAACAAAAGCAAGGATATAAGAAACTTCAGGATGCTTCTGAGAGAGAAGTTTGGGTGATCGATTCTGGTGTTTCAAGGTTCACTCTGGATAGCAAAAGGAATCCAAAGAGAACTAAGATAACAAAGGAGGAAGGAGAATTTTTGGAGCCGAGTCCAGTCCGGTAGTTTTAGACTTCTCTGAGAAAAGGATTATTTCATTTATGCCTGGTCTGATAATGGGGAAGATATTTGGCTCAAATGATTCTAAGATGATGCATAGCAAAAATTATTTTGTACTCATTAAATTAGGAATATTCCTGCTTTAAATGCTATCATACAATCTCATAAATACAATTTGGATAGAAAATTTTATATTATAAAGGTCTAATCATATAACTCAAATAACCGGATAAAAGGTACATACATGCTTTACTTGAAACTTTATTATATAAATTTCCATTTCTTTTAAAGATTACAAAACCTGTTCTGTGACAGGAATACAAGCAGTATTGTTCCAGGATTATTTAGGGATACATTGGAAAGAGCGTAGATTACACATTAATAGTATGATTTGCAAACTTCCCAGATTAGACTCTTAAGTAAAACAACTTAAAGAATTCAGTGAAATCTGATCCTCACAAGCACTTCCTAACTATGGCAGCAATGCCAAGCATCTGATGCGATTTACCCAACAATAAAAGGTACAACACATTAGAACCCTTGATATGGTACCTTGCTTGGGCTTCTGGCATGCTTTACTAGAGATAAATTAGTATAAAGGAAGATCATATATAATAGTAGAAAAATATTTCTGATTTTTTCTTTTTTAAAAACTGCTTAAGTAGATACCCACCCCATTCCCACCCATGGCCAAAAAATGCAAAATAATTACATCTTTTAGGTATACACCTTCCCTTTTATTTAGGGCAAAAG